ATATATATATATATATTAAAAAAAGGGACAGGGAAGACAGAGAGAGAGAGAGAGAGAGAGAGAGAGAGAGACAGAGAGAGAGACAGAGAGAGAGACAGAGAGAGAGACAGAGATAGCGCTAGTCACATAGATCAATACTGGCATCCCTTCCCAGGCAGACCCAGAAAGCCCCAGATGATAAGACCACAGCTACAGGAAGCAGCAAGGGTAGAAAGGGGCTCCAAAGTGTCCCTAGCCAAGGACAAGACTAGTGTGTTCCACCTGGGAATAGAAACTATGACCCAGACTGCAGCCCTAGTTTGGCTCCCATCAGACTCCCACCTCAGGGCTCAGCTTCCAACAGCTACCCCATCACTTGGTAACACCACCACCAGAATGCTTCCTAGAGGCAAAAATGGCCCCGTCCATGTCTCTCAACTCTGACCAAAGGAGCATTCCCACCTAGGAATCAAGCCCCAAGGTAAAAACAAGGTGCTCTTGAAGATGAGGAAAAGGGGGCTCTAGCTATGGGTACAGGGAGAGCCACACATACTCTACCTATCCCTTTTATTGAACATCACTATGAAACTTGGACAGAATGCAACCAACAGCTATTTAAGACCTCTGAAAAGTAAACAGTAGCAGGTAGATGAGGGACAGACCAGATTCTGAAGACCAGCAGTGAATTCATTTCCCCCCTCTAGCCTTAACTCAGCATAGCCTGAAACCCAAAGGTGTCTCTTAGGTACACAACCCTATTTACCACACCCAAGCCTTTGAGAACTAAACAAACAGGCCATCTTCAGGCGTGACTGACTGGCACACACCCCAGTCAGTAGCACATCCCATATAGCACTGCAAAAGTGCTGAAACCTTAACTAACATTGGAATCACATACTAAGAGTGTCAAGGATAAAATCCAAAACTCACTGACATGCAAAGAACCAGGCAAATCTTAATTTTCTTGGGAAAACACAAACAATTGATTCTGGTATCAAGGCAGCAGAGCTGGAATTAAAAAAAAAAAAAAACAAAAACCTAAGTGCTGCAATCATACTCTCAAGGCAATTAGGGAAAAAAAAGAAGAAAAAAATCACAGCAAAGAAACAGAACATGTAACAAATGGAAACTAGATTAAAAATACAGTAACTAAACTGAACAGAGTGCCAGAGGAGAATGAGAGAACACCAAAGGTGTTCACCTGTATCACTGCATTTCCACAAGGGGAGGGAAGTGATGCCTAAAGGATGATCTGGAGAGCTGGCGTGGTGGCGCTTTAGTCTCAGCACTCGGAAGGCAGAGGCAGGCAGATTTCTGTGAGTTCAAGGCTAGCTGAGGCTACAGGGAAAACCTGTCTCAAAAAGACCAAAATGGTAACAACAACAACAAAAGATGATCTAGACAAACAGTGGCTGCAATGTCCCACCTATGGTGAAAGATACTACAGGATTCAAGGCCACTGAACCACAAATGGGGCAAGTACAAAGAAGTCCAGCCCAGACACATAACAAAACTGATGGAAAATGAAGACGGGCGAAGTGTCAAAAGCAAGCAGCCAGAAGGAAAGAACATCTGGTCTGACAAAGGTCTGCTCATCAGAAAGAAGTTTGCTGCACACTAAGTGAACTAGGCATCCTCAGATAAAAGAAAGCTAGAGTTTGCTGCTGGGGCACCTGTTCTGAAAAAACTACTACACAAGTTCTTCAGAGGGAGGAGAAACAAAACGGTAAGGAGAGCAAAGAAAAGCAACAGCACTGGCAGCCAGCTGGGTAAACGGAACATTCTCCTCCTTTTGAGTTCTCCGGAATGTTAGGCAAGTGAAGCAGAAGATATAATGCGTTTTAGTGGGATAGTCACAATATAAAGATGTGACTTATAAGACATTTACAGCATGCAGTGGCAAGGGCATGGGGTTAGCGTTATGTGTCCAACTAGGCCAGGAAAATGCTGGTTCTAAATAGACTATAAAGATGTAAGAGTATGCAGCACCTAGAATTACTAAGAAAATGTTCTACAATGAGTCATAACTCACAACAGAATAAAAAAAATTACAGAAAATCTCTTGCTTCTTTGCTGTATATGTGTGCAACTTCAATTCTTGAACCAAGATGCCAAGAGTCTGGGATACAACTGGTCTAGACAGCAACCACAATAACAGGTGCACGGCATGGGGAGCAGGACTGTGGGCTTAGCAGGCCCCAGCTCTCCAGAGCTCTAGCTCACAGTCAGTGGCCCAGCTCAGCTCAGCGGCGTCTGGGAAGAGAACAGTTTCTATGGTCTTGTTTCCAGGTGCCACTGCCAACAGTTCTATCGTAACCCATATAGCCAGAGCTAGGCCCAGCCTCCAGCTGCAAGCCTCACTGTAGAGCCAGACCTCACACCCCATGACACTCCATCAGGGTTACCGCTTAGGTCTATGACCCAATAAATCTCAGTGGCTCTGGGAACCAGACACGTCTGTTCTTTTCACAGACCCTCAGAAAGCAGTGCTGGGGATGAGGAAGTAGATGACTGTGGGAGGCACTTCAAGCTGTGGCCCCGGTGAGCAGTTGCAGATCATACCCACTTGCATCCTCCCTTTAGCAGTGAGGGCAGAGGACAAGCTCTGCAGGGGGAGGACGTGGAGGAGCCCCAGAAGTACAAGGTCCCACCAGCCAGCCACCTGATGCCTCCAGTGCCCCCAACATGCACATCTGTCTTCCTAACACTCCCACTTGCAATGTTAGTGCTTCTATGGGGACTGTCAAATACACAGAGACAGGGCTATAGTGGGTAACTGCTAGGCACAACTTAGTTACAGACAGAAAAAGGCTTTACTTACAACAAAGCTGCACTGTGGAGAAGATAGAAAAAAGCTAAGAGTTAATTGCCAGACCAAGGGATGCCGTACACGGCAGGGGCTGCACCCTTTCACCAGCTGCACCGCCACCTCCTCTCATCTCACTCAACCCTCCCTCCCAACAGTAAGGTTTGCACCTGCTGTCTCCAAGTCACTTGTACCACTGGGCTGTGCGCACGATGACCAGTGTTAAGTCAGTTGTCCCCTTCCTAGCCTAGGGCTCAAAGCAGCTGAGCTTCTGGGGCACAGTTCAGGGCCAATAAGGTCAGAGCAACACTCCAGTATCAAAGCAGCCTAAAACCACAGGGACTTGAGCTGGCCCTTGACCAATGGAAGGTCAGGCCTCTTGTGCCTAGGCCCACGCTACTTCTAACAGTTTATGAGACAGACAGAGCCTTCTACTACACTGTCCCAATTCCAGCAAAGCACAGCCAGGGGACAGGCTCCCTCACCTTAGGGTCCACGCGCAGGGGAGTGTTGCGCTTAATGAAAGACTTCATGACACTGCTGCGGGAGGCCGAGGTCGGGGTCATGAGCATCTGGTTCCTCTGCACTGTGTGCAAGAAGGTCCGGAGGGGCCGTACCACCTGCTGACCAGGACCAGGGTCAGAACTGAACAGGCAAAGCAGATGTGAGACAAGAGCAAGAACTTGCTCACCTTGTTGGCTGGACAGGGTGGGGAAGGGGTCTTGTTCTGGGGGGGCTGCAGCTCCTCATCATCAGGATGCTCCTCATCCAGCTCACTCATTGCCTGCTTGTAGCTGCGTTTCCTCCTGCCCAGGACAGGTGACCAAGTCACACAGCAGACCTAGGAATTCTCACAGCCCTGCCATACCCCATGAAAGGTAACTTGTAAACAAAGCTGGGTCCAAGCCACAGGTTCCAGACTAGAAGAGATTACAGACCAGCCCTCTGCTGACCACTCAGAGGAAGGAAGGCAGACAACTGAAGGTCAAGAGGTCCAAGAGGAGGCAGAGAAACAAGGTCGCCCCATTCCCAAGCCAGCATTCATCTACAGAATCAAACTACCTCATCTGTTAATTCAGAGAAACAGGTCATGGCTCCGGCCAAGAGGCAACAGAGGACCTGACCAAATGCCCACCCTCCCTATGCAAGAACACAAGCTTGGTTCATATGCCTCTGGAATCTCAGACCAGAGCCGCCTGTATACCCCTTCCCAGATGCAAACCTGACACTCTGGGGTGGTTCTCTGTGTCCATCTGTTTGGTCAATCTTGGCCTCTGTGAAGAAAGCAATTTCAGTGAGACTACAGGAGAGATGGTAATGAGTGTATATGCAGGGCCTGGGGAGGAGTCCATCAGCATCAGGATATCCGGAGCAAGGGTCTATTCCTAGCAACCCCAGGGTGGCCAATGGCAGAAACACCAACCTTAGCACCAACTGACCTTGAGGAATCTACATTTCATCTAGAGTTGAGCAAAATATCCCTCAGGTCAGACCCATGACCCCCTGCCTGACAAGTGAATTGAATAGCAGGACAGTGTCACCAAAGCCCCAGTCTGTGGACCACTACTGCAGCCAATGAGAGCCATGTACAGAAAGCTTACAAGAGCTTCAAGCTCTGCAGCCAAACCTGCCTCTTGTGGCCTTCGGCTGATGCCACCATAACAGGAGAGGAAGGCTTATACGTGGGGTCTCCACACCAGGTATACAGTATGCTTTGCTTCACCAAGATAAAAAGCACTCTTTACTGCAAAAGGTCTTTACAGCCATCCTGGGAGCAGGGGGCTAGCACAGGTATCCTCTACCCCTTCATAAAGAGAATGCCTTGTTCAAAATCTCATAGCTGTCATGTCTTCAGATCAGAGCTGCCCTTCTAAGAGAGATGTGAGCCAGACTCCAAGAGCCTCCTAGTAGCCTGGGAAACCAGGCAGAGTTCCTGATCAGCTCCCAGAGCCCACAGTGATCCTGCTCTCTTTGAACTAGTAAGGCTCCAGACAGGTCAGAAACAAATCTGGGGCAAAAGGCTAATTAGGTGTTCGGACCTCAGCCTGTGGTTCTTCCTGATTCCCTTGGAATGGACCTTAAGACCTTCACCTGGTGCCTTCACATTCTTCCCTCATTTCAGCCCTTCCCCTGCTTCCATAGCTACTTATATGGCACTCGGCAGCAGCTCCAGCCAGATCAATGGCCTCTTCTGGTTTAGTTTATCTTTGGCCTATCAGTCCAGAAAATGGGGCTTTTATCCTTACTGTCTGTAAGGGCAGGCAATGTCAGTTTCCTACAGTTCTAGGAATCTATGCATCAGGAAGACTCACCTCGCTGACCTTCAGAGGATATTTTCTGGCCATTGGCCACTGGCTTCAGAGTGGGTGTACTAACAGCAATCTTGGTGGTACTGAGGGGGCGCAAGATACACCCAGTGTTCTTGGAGACCTATGGGAAGAACTGTGGCTTGAAGAAGCCCCACCTGATCTTGAGGCTCAGGATAGCTGTGGCAGAGCTTCAATCCCAGAGGCCCTCAAGTCCTCCCCTCTCTACCTTTTGGCCTTACCTCCAGGTCAGCTGCCTCCTCAGGCTTAGCCTCCTCACTGGGCTCCTTGTGCTCAGGGCTGAAAAGCAAAGCGGGGCACTGTGAGAACCCTAAGTCCAAACTCTCTTCAACTCAAGTTAGGGTCAATGTTAGGTGACCAGGCCTCAGCCACAAGCCAACAGCCCTCTGGCTGGACAGGAGGATAGCAGCTACAACCAGTGGATATTTTCTGAATCTTATTTGATCTCGTCCTATCAGAGATCTCATATAGGATGGGAACCTGTTAAGTGCTTCCCAAAGGCTTAAGTGTTAAAGGCTTGTTCCCCAGAGAAGTGCTATTGGGAGGTAGTAAAAACTTTGAACAAAAGGGACCTAGTTGTTTTATCATGTTATTAGTGGGGTGCCCTTGAAGGCGAATGAGACCATAGCCCTTTCCTCCCTTTCTCCTTCTAGTCCCAGCTACAAGATGAACGGCTTAGTTCCACTACACATTCCTGTCAGGATGCACTGCACTACAACCCCAAAGCAGTGAGGCAACTGGCCATAGGTAGAAATCTCTACTGAGCCAAAGTAAACCATTTCTCTTTGTAAACCGATTACCTCGGGTATCTGTTGTAGTAATCCAGAGTTGACAAACACTTTCCCCCAGCTCTGTTTCACTCTCTTGAGCCCAGAAGAGTCCCATGTCTTTTGAGGCCTGCTCATTACTTACCCATGAGCTAGCCAAGCCAAGCGGTATGCCCAGACCCCACTTCCCCATCCCAAGCACTGACCCTCTGCTCCACAGCAAGGAAGGGCCAGTTTTAGTGAGAGCAGAAGACGATGTCTAGGAATCAGTGTCCTAGTCCCAGGCAATGCTGGGTATAATTTGGGGACAGGAAGCACCCGTAGGCCCCAGGCCACCCCATCCTACCCTACCTCAATTTAAAAGTGGTTTCTTTGGTTGTTCAGTCTCATTTACAATCATGCAGCACACACCCCAGGGGTCAAGCCCAGGGGCTGACAAGTGATACTGAGACATGACAGCCATGTCGCTTGCTGCCTGGTTAGGTGAGAGCCAAGGTTGTCAGCAGTGCCATAGGGAGTCCAGGATGAGGAGAGAAGGCTCAGCCTCAGTAAAAGTTTCCACTTGGTGGTCACCTCCACCTGTCCCCTAATGTGCCCTGTCCACCCCTGGGGGACACTGGAACTGAACTCACCCAACTTTCTGGGGCACTTCAACATTCAGGAGCCTCTCTAGGTAACTGTGACCTGAAGGGAAAACAAAGGAATAAAAGATGCCTCAGAAACTGGCCCAGTACCAAGCCAAGAAGTTCAGGAAATCAGCTTCTAGCAGAGCCACGGTCACTGCTCCCTTCATGAACATGGGCCTCGATGTGCCCTGGGCATCACCCTCAGCCTGGGGGTATCACGGGCAGAGGGGCAATGTCTGACATAGCCCTGGACCCCAACATAAACAACTTACTCACTTGACATATAGTCATCAAGAATCTACTATGTTCTGGGCTCTGGGCCAGGCTCTGGAGCCTGGATGGTGAGAAAAAACAGCAAGTCATGGCTCACTCTTCCTAGCAATCATCGAATGACTATGGAATTACAATGACTAAGCCCACAGCGGGGGATTCTGAAGCCCACAGCAGGGGAACCCAAATAATCTGGAAGATCTGATATGAAAAATAAAAGACCAAAGGGGAGGAGGAGGAGGAGGAGGAAGAGGAAGCCCAGCCAGTGGTTTCCAAAGCACACTCTTCAACTTCTGGAGGTACCCAAGACCCTTCTGGGTGATCCATAAAGTCAGAACTATTTTCACCATTACAGTCCAATACGGGCTTTCCTTTACACCATTTGCCCAAACAGCACAAGAGCAGAAAGGCAGACGTTAACTGCTGACGCTTAGCACTAAGTAAGGCTTTGGCATCAAATGCTATATCATCCTGTCATAGTAAAGCAATGCCCAGTTCTGCTTGGGAATGTCCTTGAAGAAGTATTAATTACAGGTGTGATAACTCACATCTGTAATCCAGTACTCAGGAAGCTGAGGCAGAAGACCTGACACAAGTTCAGGACCAGTCTGGACTACATAGTGAGACAATGTCTCAAATTCCAAAAGGAAAAAAAGAAAAATGTATTAAATCTAACCTCAAGTTCATGTCATATTTAATATTTTGCATGGCAAAAGGGAAGTAAGTGAAATGCTCATTTGCTGCAAACCCAAGTCTCTGTGAAAAGTGCTCATGTTCGAGATGCCCAGCTAAAGAGCCTATCACCTTCATCAACCACTAAATTTTAGTTGAACAACAACTGGCAATCTACGGCTACTCAAGCTTGGCTATTATGATAAGACAGATGGTTTAGAATGAAGTAAGTCTGCCGCTTAAAACACATTTGTTGACAATAAATTGAGCCCATCCACCTCCTAAAAAGAGCGTAAAGTGGAAATCTGAAAGACTTATGATGTGTCACCAGACATCTCAGAACTTCCCAACACCTGAGAGTGCCACTGAGGAGGTCAGGAAACTAATGCACTTCTTTGATACTACGTTTTAGTTTTGTACAAGTTACTTTTTCATAAAAAATGTTAAAAATTTCAAAAAAATGCTAACACTTGTAATACACAATATTTTAGTTCTTTAATATTATGACATTAAGTATTATTTAAACCTTCAAACCTTTGAGTATTAATACTAATAAAAATGTTAATATTTAAAATATTTGAAATTCTTTACTTCTAATATCGTGCATAAGCTCACAATGAAATATTTTCTATGGTCCTTGTTAAGTTGTAAAATTTGGAAACATACTCAAACCAAAACTTGAGAGTCACTGACCTAGGATAAGCACTTGTCAAGGCCACAAAGCAGGAAAAAGGCTTTGAGTCTGGAAAAAGGCCAGCTCCTGGGTCAGGGGAAGAAAACCAAGCAAGGAGCAGAAGCAGGGACTCCATTCTGGGTTAGCAAGGCTAGGGGAGGGGGAAGGAGCGGCTGCAGAATAAGACTGGCAGCTACAGGTGAGAGACCGCCCCTCATCTGCCCTGCCTCTTTGTCCCAGCTCCAAGCTCCCTGATGAGGGGACAGAAAGGCAAGACACCTGAAAGACCACACAACTATTCCACCTACACAAAGACTTCTTGGAATGTTTAGTGCCCCTTGCATACCAGAGAGGGTCTAGTGTCAAGGAGGTGGCCTGTCAGGACTGAGGAGGGGCCGCTCTCCAATGGAAAGGTAGCCAAGAAGCCTGAATGAGGATCCTGGTCTACAGGGCTGGACCCTCTGGAAAGCCTGCAGCAGTGCCCACCTGCCACCTGTCCACTAATGCTATATAGCTCCCTCCTGGGGAATGCATACCACACCAGGGAGGTAGAGCACTGGGGTGAGGCCTCACCCAACAGCTCTCACCCCAGTGCTCCACCATGGCATTCCAGAGGCCCCCACACCCACCCTTTTTGCCACTCTCACCTCATTGCTCCCCCACTCTGCTGCAGGCATAGCCAAGGCTGCTCTGCTTTGGGGAGAACTCAAGCTAAGATGCCACCTGGGTTGCCTACCAGGCCCAACTGTAAGAACCTGGTGTCAGAAAAGCACCAGCAAGCCTCCACCTTGCCCTTTCACACCCCCTGCAGTCCCGCAGCTCCTTGTCCAGAGGAAGCCTGGCCACATCCATGCTGAGTTCCAGAGACACAGGGTCCCAGGGTCCACATGTCTAAATGAGATTTACTGAATATGGACCAAGCACCAGGTGAGGCCTCTATAACCACATTCAGGGCAGATGTCACCATTATTCACACAGGAAAACTGAAGTGAAGAAAAGGGATCTGCCCAGCTTAGTGACTCCATATTCTGGTCCCTGCCTCCTCCTCCTCTCCCTTTTCCTTCCACCTAAAGAAGGAAAATGATCACTGGGCTTGGAGTTAGACAGGCTTGCTCACATAACCAGTCAACTGAGAGGCCTACCTACGGGCAGGGAATGGGCTGTGGAGAAAGAGCAACAGGAAGGGTTTAAGAACTGCAGGTCTAGGGGCTGCAGAGGTGACCCAGCGGTTAGGAGCACTGGCTGCTCTTGCAGAGGACCCAGGTTCAGTTCTTAGCACCCACATGGCAGCTAAGTAACTCCAGTTCCAGGGGATTCGACACCCTTTCTAGCCTCTGCAGGCATTGCACAACACAGATGCACTTACACACATGCAAGCAATCACTCGTACACATAAAATAAAAATAAATAAACCAAAAAAAAGTATTTGGGGCTGGAGAGATGGCTCAGCAGTTAAGAATACTGCACTGGCTGCTCTTGCAGAGGACCCATGTTCAGTTCCCAGCACCCACACATCTAACATCTGCCCATAACTCCAGTTCCAGAGGATCCAACACCCTCTTCTAGCCTCCATGGGCACTTCACACATGTGGTGCACTTATATACATTCAGGCAAATGTATGTACTTACATACACTCATAACATAAGGCACTTACATATACTCAACACATAAAATAAAAATAAATTGTTTTAATAAAAGTCTAAAAGTTTTTTAAAAACTTAAAATTCAGCTCCTTGATGATTTATATCTGTAATCCCAGCACTAGGAAGGTAGCAGGAGGATTGAGTTGAAAGCCAGCTTAAGCTACATAGCCAGAGCCTGTCTCAAAAGCCCAAGAGCTAGGGATACTGCTCAGTGGTAGAACACCTGCCTAAGATACACAAGGCCCTGGATGGCTGGGGGAAGAAAATCAGCTTCTCACTCAAACTAGCCAGATCCTGAGTTCGGCAGCCAAGCATGGCTAGCTTAGAGTGCTATCCACAGAAGAACTCAAGACACGGAGCATTTACATCACAGAAAGGATGGAAAGTTCCTTCAGAAGCCCTCCAGCTGAGCTAGGCACCAAGGACCACCCACTGCACCATCTTCCCACACTTGCCCCATACTCACAGATGATGCGGGCAGAAGCCTCTGGCTCTCTGCCAGCCTTCTTGGCAATCCTGCTTGACCTGCGACTGGTGGTTTCCTGTTTGGTCACTAAGGAATACTTCTGGGCTAGAGACACTTGGGGACCTGGAGGAATCATGCTTCGTCGCACTGACTTGGATGTGGTGGGCAAGTTATTTGGCAGGATGGGGGAAAGTACCCGCTCCTGCCATGGAGAGTCTGGAGAGTCAGGTAAGTCCTGTGGTCCCTGGGAGGCCTGAGCAATCTTGAGCTTGGAAGCAGAGCGCCCTGCCCCAACCCCTCGGTTCTCGGGGTTCTGGGGGGTAGCCGTCAGGGAGCTCACTGTGACAGAGTCCAGTCTCCTGGCCTCTGCCTTCTTGGGAGTTGATTCCTCCTCTGATGTCAGGATGCCTTGGGAAGCTGGAGATGGGACTGGGCCAGGAGACTGGGCACCCATGAGATGAGAGAGGTGCAGCTCAGCACTCAGGCGCTCGTTAATGCCTATCTCCACTATGGGCTTCTTGGTCAGCCCTGTGGGAGACCCAGCAGTGGGCAAGGAAGCAGCTGATGTTGTAGACGCTGCGGCAGCGGCAGCCGCAGCCCGGGTTACCCGGCGCAGCACAGGGGAGCCATTCTCCCCGGCAGCTGTAGCCAGCTTCTCCACTTTGTCCTTGCTGCGCTGGTGCCGGGTGTTCAGCTGACTGCTCTGAGACTTTCTGCGGGATAACCTGAAGGGGCAGCAGAACAGAGGCTGAGACAGCCCAAGAGGGCAGGGGGTACCCCAAGAGTAGAAATGGGGCACCAGCTTCAATGAAGTATGAACAAAGGATTTGGAGGCAAAGATTGGGTTTCCAGTGCAGACTCTACAACCTCTAGCCACAAGACACCAGCTGCTTCTCTCCGTGCCTCAGGCTCCCCAACTGTAAAATGATGAAAATGCCCAGTACTCGTAGAACTGCTGGGAAGACTGAATTCACACCACATTGCAATGACTGCAGGCACACTGCCCTAAGTATCTTCTGCAAACTTCACTCATGCTGTCCATCTGCAAAATGGCCCTAGGAGGTAGGCACCATTATTCTACTTTGGAGGATGAGAGATAGGTGGAAATGTACCCCAAGGATGCACAGCCGCTAAGGCAGAGAACTGGGGTTTACACGTGTACCAGGCTGCCCGCCTCAGAGGCCCTGCATCTTCACTTGACTACTGTAGCACCAATGTTCCTAGGAATTGTAACAAGTCCAGCACAGTAGAGCCTAAACGTATATACCTCTGGTCCCTCTCACCCAAAAGAAGGTAAGAAACACTTCCCCTCCTCCAAAGCCCAGATCAAAGTTCCTGCCCTCCCCAATATATATACACACAAACTCACACATGTACTCTGAACTAGGTTCACGCTTCATGTCCCCCATGACATGACAGCGTATCCAGGACTACTGCCTTCCAGCTGCTACTCCTAGGAACACATTCAGAAGCAAACTCTCCAAGAGGGTACCAAACCTCCAAAGACCATCTGCCCAGCTCAGTATCCCCAAGCCCTCCTACCTTTTCCTGATGGGGTCTCTGTTTTCATCCTGAATATTAGAAACCCGTCTCTTCTTTCGTCGGTTCTTTTGAGAAGGAGTTTTGGGCATCAGCTCTGGCTCTCTGCTGAATTCTCTGTTTAGTACAAGGAGGGTGAGCTGTGGCTTCCTGGGAACTGCCAGCCTACCCCTCTCTCACTACCTCCCACCCCATTCCTGATAGTGGCAAGTCAAGCTGGAAAGACTATCACCAGCTAAGCTCTCCATGTGTAAATCATCAGCTGGGCACTCAAGGCTTCCTCTGGGATACAAGGCAGAGAAGCAAGTTCCCAGATAAATTACACAGGCCCACCTGCTGAGTGGCCCAGCCCAGCCAACTACAGTGAGCCAGGCAAGGGCTCAACCTCTTCTTCCCCTGGCCACAGTGCACCAGGCACTTGGGAAGGAACCCTGACAGGCAATCTGTCTGACCTATTAGGGCACTCCCCACCCCCCACCCACCACCATCACCACCACCATCACCACAATCCCAGCATGCCCCTGCCTCTACCTGGTGAACATGCGCTCAGCCTCCTCCTCAATCTCCTTGAGCCACACCAAGTCCTTATTGTCCATGTTGCAGACAAAGTCCATGAGTTTCTGGTCACATAGATCCAGCAGGTGAATGGGCCCTGGGGCCGTAGTCCCCATGGTGGCACTGTCTGATGAAGGTAGGGACAAGAAGCGTCAGGACTCAGGGCCAAGGATTAGGACCTTCTCCCGGGAAAGAGTCTGTCAGACATAGCCTCTATCCCCAAATCATCCCAAACATCCAGCAACGAACCCAGGCTCCTTCCAGTGCACTGAACCCAGGCCCCTTCCAGTGCACTGAACCCAGGCCCCTTCCAGTGCACTGAACCCAGGCTCCTTCCAGTGCAAAGCCTCTCTCCAGATGCAGATGTCAATCAAGTGGTCTCATTTCAAAGGACATTCCAGTTACTCCCAACACACAGAGTATGACAGTCCCTACAAGCCCACACTTTCTGACCAGTTCTGATGACCCCAGACATCAGACATCAAATCAAACTTCCTCCTTAAAGGGCCCCAGTGGGGGACTAGTGAGATAGCTCAGCACATTAAGGGACTTGTCATCAAGCCTAATTACCTGAGTTTAATTCCTGGCACCCACATAGTAGAGAGAGAAAATAGCCTCCCATAAGTTGTCCTCCCCACACATGTCCATGGCATATACACATATGCACAAAAAATAAACAGCGGAGCTGTGCATGATGGTGCATGCTATAATCCCAACATTTGGAAGGTACAGGAGAATGAGTTCAAGGTCATGCTCAGCTTTTGAGCTTCTAGCAAGTTTGAGACCAGCCTGGACTATATGAGACTGTCTCCAAAACAAAGTTACTGGGAGAAAGGTGTTGTGCATTCCACAGGAGTGCATAAGGAAGCAGAGGTCCAAAGATACTTTCCAAAGGGCCCCCACACCACCTTCCCTAGAGCAGCAATGCCTATACATGGATGCGGGAGCGTGATAGTGAATAAGCAATGTGTTGCTTTTAGGAAAGCCTGCCTTACAAATATTAGGCAAAAAAACACAAAGCCCATTTTTTTCTTACTTTCATTAAAAAAAAAATTATGAGCGTCGATATCCTTCTTATGCTCCGGTTAAAACAGCATCACGGAAGTCCTACACTAAGAGGAAGCACTCTTGTTACTGTCATAGCAAGGCCTCAATAAATATCCCAAGTGGTGAACAAATGGAAGAACAAAGGAGTGAGCGGGCTGTGGTAGACATCAGACTGTAGGCCACATGCAGAGACAATGATCCACCATTCTGATTTAGACCTTCAAAAGGCAGAACCAGGCATGAGAGCTCAGCCTCTCAGCTAGACAGGTCATGGGCAGAAGGGCTAGATCCCTCTGATTCTTCTGGAGCTTAAAGTCATGACAAGTTACAGCCTCAGCGGGCTTCCTTGACATCCTTGGGCCTGATTTGGGGGGCACACTACCCCTTTGTCCTTCAAACAAGTTCTGAGTTCCAGCTATCTGTTTTACCTGGCTCCTTCACTTAGCTCTCAGATCTGCCCTCCAATCTAAAGTAGCTCCCAGCCAGGATCAACCCACTGACTGCAATTATCTGCACAGTATATGAGTGTTTGTTTGCTTATTGCTGGTCTCTACACACTAAACACTACTACTACCCCAAGGGTAAGCCCTTAGTCTTGCTCATCAGATCAAAGTGTGTAGCCCTCAACTAAGTCTGGCACTTGAATGAATTAATCCATCCACTAACTAAGCCTATAGGCTCCTCTCTCCATCACCATCACAGATAGACACACTCAATGAACAACTTACTAGGCACAGGTTAGGACAGGCCAATATACACCCAAAGTTCCTGATCTAATGCCAAGGGCAGCACTAACGGGCAAAACCAAACTGGCAGGCAGGCACAGGCTTTAGGCAAAGATGTCAACTGGCCACCAGCTAGTACTGGGCATGGCCTCCCCACTGCCTTCCCTGAGTCTCCCAGCCCCTCTGTACTAGAACACAGCTCTGGTAAGTACCAGACTCCAGTCTAAGGGCAGCCACGAGAAAACTGTTCAAGGACACCAAAGATATGCAGAGGACCTACAGAGGGCAACCACTGGGTAACTTTTCAAAGTATTTGTTCAATCTGGCAAAGTGGGTGACCGCTTCTTTCAGAGTCCAAAAACACATTTGGATTTCTGTGGGGAGACGTGCTTTTCAGCAGACCTTTGCTTGACCATTTAATAAAAGTCACCGTAAGTTAGAACAAAGGTGAGCCCCGAGAGAGGAGGGGTCAGTGTAACAGGAATCAGGCTCTCGGAAAGAGCAGTAAAAACCTCATCTTCAGCACATGCGAACCTGTGCACGACCCAGAGAACTCAACATCCCACCGAGGGGCAAGGGATCATTTCCCCTCCACAAATACTTCTTCCACACCATTCAGATTAGAGCCCCCCCCGCCATCTCTTCTTCTGAGGGGTCAGGAAGTTAGCTAAACACCTCTCTACCACTCTTCGATACAGAATGATCTAATGGTTGCTCTCCCACTCCCTGGGTTCCTACTCCGTGCCAGGACCAGGTCCCAATAGTCCTCACCACAACCTCCAAGATACCCATGCACAAACAAGAAGCCTAGGTCAAGATACACATGCACATACAAGACGCCTAGGTCAAAGCCACTCAGGAAATCGGGGACGGAGCCAGGATTTAAACTGCTTTAGAACCACTATCTAGAGGCCTCCTGGCCATCAAACTTGGGTCGGCAGAGCCAGCCCTGGGCCGTAGGGGGCTGAACGGAACTGTACGGCTGAGAATACGCTTGGGGATAGAATCGGCCTCCGGACACTGGACAGTTTTTAAACCCCGCTCAGCTGGACAGGGGAAAGCTGCTCCAGAGCACCGAGACGCGGGTCCAGGTGCGCGGAGCCGTCCAGGCTCTGCACAGTGGTGGGCACCGCGTGGGGAGCTGACCCTAGGACCGAGGTGGGCAGTGGAGTCACCCCCAGCCCTACGACCGCAGGCGGGCCACTGGAAGAAGTGACCCGCAGGCCCGGTCACGCCCCTGGCCTGGCCTCGGAGAAGGGTAGGTAGCGCACAAATTCCGGAACACCCCGAGCGCGCCCCGCCGGCCGCCCGCGCCCACTTACCTGGAGGCGCCGCGTCTCCTGCCGGCTACAGCGATGCAAGCCCGCGGCCTCCGGAGCTGAACCCCGACGCCTGGCCCGACCCACTCGGCTCCGGCTTTTCCGAGGTGGCCACAGCCAAGGAACAACCAGGCGCTGAGCGCGGGCGAAAACTACGATTTTCAAAACTGAAGGCTCAGCCAATTCTCGCCAAGCTTGTCTGGGCGGTTACAAAACCACAAGCCAATCAGGTAACAGGAATTACGAGACCGCTTATCTATTGGCTTTCCTGGTTGTCAATCTGCAGGACTAAGAGGCGGGGAAAAGGCAGCGTAGACGCTTTAACCCTCCTCAGCTTCCGGGAGTCGCGGCCCTCTGAGCTGAGAGGAAGTCGCCCGCCTGCGGTCGTGGACGCGGGTGACTCTCAGAACTACAAGTCCCAGCGTGCACTGCGGAGGCCTGCGAAGCGTGGGAGGACGTGGACGCATCCTGAGCGTCTGGTGCGTCACTGTTCCTGCTTCCAGCTTTGTTCTGAGTTCGGGATGATGGCTTTGTGAGCTTTGCCATTCTTGAGAAGTGAAAAGAAAATACATTGTGACTCGCACCGCTGTTGTATTTATACACAACCTTCCTTCATCTCATGAGGACCTTAGAGCTCCCGAAAGCTTCCTTAGAGTTACGCTTGTCAACCGGAAGTTGTCTTGTGCCTCCCACTCAACACACATATTTGACACCTTATGAATACATTTTGGTCTGGAAGGAGGAAGCACTACCGGAGTCCAGTGAGTAAAAGTTAACATCGCTACTAAGCACCCTTAAGATTGTTCAGCCATACAGAACAAATCATCTAGCCGCATGTATCAGTATTGTTCCTGGGGAAAAACTGCTTTAGGCAAGTCTGTGAGCTGAGGATTGCCATCGCCTATGAAGTAAAACACGTCGATCCCCAAAACATTTACTCATCCACCTTCTTTACAGACTAATTCACAATAGCCAAGAGGAACGTCTATCAACAGAAAATAAGAAATTTTATTTTTAAAGGGTCTCAGTAACCCCAAACGGTCCGGTCACTAGACACCCTCCCTATTGCAGCCGCCAGGATTCTGGAATTAAAGGTGTCCATACCCACAATCAACGAATAAGTTGTAAATGTTTGTTTATAATGCAGCTTTTAGGACATTTTGCTAAGATATTTAAGACACAAATAGACAAATGCCTGTATGATCCCAGTTATATGAGGTATCAAAAGTAGCAAATTCACTAAGTAGAATGGTGATTCGCCCTCACATGTTGGGGAGATGAAGAAACGGGGAACTTGACAATGAGTTTCAGTTTCACCAGATGCAAAGTCCGGAGAATGCTGGTATAGCACTGCATATAGTTAACAGCTTGTGTGACCATCTGCCAGCACCTACATTTCCATGGCTTAACTTTATTCTGATTTGACCCTTGATAGGATGTACTCAGTTCTAATCGAATTCCAAATTCTCCTTTCACCCAGGAACAGTAAACACACTTTCCTTCCAAATTCTTTGCAGATCCTCAGGTCATCTCCTTCAGAATTGTTCTTCATTTACTACAGATAATCTCTAAATGAGTGTTAAGGAAGCCATGGTGTTAAGACAAACTGAAGAGGGGCTGGAGAGATGGCTCAGCGGTTAAGAACACTGGCTGTCCTTGTAGAAGACCCAGGTTCGAATTCCAGCGCCTACATGGCAGCTAACAACTGTCTGTAACTCCAGTTCCAGGGGATCTGATAGCCTCTTCTGTCCTCTGAGGGCATTGCATGACATGGATGCACTTACCTACATGCAGGCAATACATGCATACACATAAAATAAAAATAAAATATTTTAAAAAACCCTGAAGGACATGAACATGGAAGGAAAGCACCTGAAACACAGGTAAGTCCTGTCTACTATACCTAGCCCTAGAGCCTGAGTTTAATCCTGCTCTGCCCCACCCATCCCTGAAGCTTGGATCTGTCCTGAACACTAGGCTAATGGGGTCAGCCTAGGATGGGGAGAGCTGAGACCTTATGTCTGAGCTAGCATTTCCTGAATGCCCACTGGCTATCTGTTAACATCCTCACAACAAGCAGTTAGAGGGCATCTCCTACATGGCAGCTAACAACTGTCTGTAACTCCAGTTCCAGGGGATCTGATAGCCTCTTCTGTCCTCTGAGGGCATTGCATGACATGGATGCACTTACCTACATGCAGGCAATACATGCATACACATAAAATAAAAATAAAATATTTTAAAAAACCCTGAAGGACATGAACATGGAAGGAAAGCACCTGAAACACAGGTAAGTCCTGTCTACTATACCTAGCCCTAGAGCCTGAGTTTAATCCTGCTCTGCCCCACCCATCCCTGAAGCTTGGATCTGTCCTGAACACTAGGCTAATGGGGTCAGCCTAGGATGGGGAGAGCTGAGACCTTATGTCTGAGCTAGCATTTCCTGAATGCCCACTGGCTATCTGTTAACATCCTCACAACAAGCAGTTAGAGGGCATCTCCATTTCATGACATGAGAAGAGGATAAATATGTCCTACCACAGTTAGAAGCAACAGAGAAATAGAGTCAAATGTCATGTCGCCAAAGAAGTGTCTGCAGAACCAGGAAAGATTAAGGAGAAAGGGACTCACTTAACTGCCTTTTAATAATAGACACCCTATCTTATTTTTTAATGAATAATAGACCCTTGGGTTTTACTTGAACTACCAGCCAACTTATCTCCAACTCTGCATGTTCAAAACCAACAACTTCCCCTATAAACCAGCTGCTACTCGATTCTACTTTAAAATTGGGAGGTGTATAGGAAATACTACCCCCAAATAAACTACATTGGTCTGATGATTACTTTAAACTCAAGGAAACCATGGATATGTAAGAAAGGCTTTCCCTAAATGTCCTCTGATCAAAAGTAGATCCTGCATATATAACCCCATTGTCATGAAAACCCGCCATGGAATTTGTCTCTGATGAACCATTAACATGCCGTGGGAAGAGACTAGAATTTTCCATCTGATCCAGAAAAACTATTGCCTGTTCCTTTGACAGTCCATCTTTCCATAATTCCATAACTCATACTCCCCAGGTTGCCTACGTATACCTGCTCCCCTCACCCCTTTTTATTTTTTATTTATGTGTATCTCTGTGTGAGTGTATATGCACATGTGTACAGGTGCCCACAGAGGCCAGAAGAGGGCACCATATCCTCTGGAGCTGCAGTTAAAGACAGTTCATTGTGAGCCACCTGACGTAGATACTGGCAACTGAAACTCAGGTCCTCTGAGAGAGCAGTAAGGCTGGAGAGATGGCTCAATGGTTAAGAACACTGGTTGTTCTCACAGAAGACCCGGGTTCAAATCCCAGCACCAAATGGCAGCAAACAGCTATCCATAACTCCAGTCCCAGGGGATCTTACAGCCTCTTCTGACCTCCACAGGCATGGCACGACATGGGTGCACTTACCTACATGCAGGCAATGCATGCATACACACAAAATAAAAAAAAATTAAAATAAAGAGCAGTAAGGACTCTTAACCACTGAATCATCTCTCCAGCCCATCCACCTTATTGTAGGAGGAAGTGCGGCCTGAACAACCCGCACATGCACACTGCAAATGTGCCAAAAACATCCGGCTGAGTCAAACCTGTGTTCTGCCAAAAGACATAGAGACGGGTGATGCGAAAATGGCCTGATACAGAGAGCTAATGAGGAACAGACACGACCCCCAGGAGGGGGAACATAAGGGAGCCCCATATCCGCAATAAATGAGTCTGCAGCTGCTTGCACTGCCTGCTTCTCACTTGACTCCTGGAGTCTGTGTTGTGACTCCGTGCCCGACTCTACTCCCACCTGGAGGGCCCCAGGACACCTGCAACACCTTATCAAAAGGATATATAAACCTTTATGTCACACTTGATTTGGGGATATTCACTTTTTGGTCATATAATGCCCCATATATAATAATAGAGTATATATATTACATAAAGTTTATATGTTCATTATCAAACCTACAGAAGGCAGGAAGGGGAAAGTCCCTACAGGATATTAGAGAAGGATTTCTGACATTTAGATCCCCAGCACCACATAAACCAGGAGTGGTGGTGCACACCTGTAAGACCAGCACTCAGGATGTAGAGGCAGGAGGATCAGGAAGGCAAAGCTAGCCTCAGCAATATAGTGAGTTTGGGGCACCAACTTGTGTTTTATGATGCCCTGTCTCTACAAAATCGAAGAAGGGTTAGAAATATAGCTCAGTGGGGGAGCACTTGCCAAACATGACTAAAGCCCTAGCGCAGTTCCCAGAACTGAAGGGAAAAAATTTTCAATAGAGCTAGTTGTATTCAACTTGAAGTAGCAGAGGAATCCAGGAAACAAAAAAGGAGCCATTGAAGGGTAAGGGGGAAATAAAGATCTAAGGACGGGTGAATAGTAGAGCACGGGTGGTGGGAAGTGAAAAGGGGAATGAGTAATGATGGGGAAGATTTAAGTGAGGAAGGGATGTGAGGGGAAGACAGGAAGGTGCAGGTGCAGGAGGAGGACTAACTAACACCAAGGATGTGGGGAAAAGCCATGCGGAGGCCTACTGTTTTAGAAGCTTACTAAAAAATAGAATCTTTTAAAAGTTTGAATGAAGGTACACAGGAGTGGATAATGCACCTCCTAGAAGCCATGGATTACTAAAACTAATATCCCAGTGCCAGGTGTAGAATAGCTCCCTTCAAGATATTGAGAGGTCCCGGAGACACCCCCCCCCCAAAACAATACAATATCAGCTGTTGTCATTGCTGTTGCTTGCTGCCCTAGTTTCTTTTTTGATACAGGGTCTCCCTGTAGCCCCAGTTGGCCTGGAACTCACTATGTAGACCAGGCTGGCCTCGAACTCACAGAGATCCACCTGCCTCTACCTCCGAAGTGCTAAGATTAAAGGCATGCACCACCACACCTGGCTTCCTGTCCTAGTTTCATTTGTGTGGCTGTGATAAAATACTCTGACAAAAGCAACTTATTGGAGAAGGGATTTCTTTTGGCTCACAATTTCAGGTTATAGTCCATCCTTGTGGGGAAGTTGAGGCAACAGGAACTTGAAGCTGCTACTCACAGCTACAGGCAAGAGCAGACAGAGAATGCACACATGCTGTGCTTAGCTCACTTCCTCCTTT